GGGTGGGGGGGTGTTGGGCGGGGTGGGGCCCGCTGCCTGTACTGCGGGGGGACCCTTTGGTGGGTGCAGCCCTGGCGCTGGTCCCCACATCTCCCTCCCGGCTGCATCTCGTGCCCCGTGTGCAGCAGGTTGTGGCATCTCGGGGGGGGCTGCACTCCCCTGGCTACCCTCCGCTTGCAATTAGTCACTGGTGCCAGTGCCGGCACGCTAGCAAGCATCGAGGGGCACCCACGGCTTTGCCCTCTGTGGCGTGCCGGAGGAGGATGGGGAGGCTGCCCTCAGTGCCATCCCGTGCTGTTCCTCCCATTTCAGCCACCGCTCAGCCCTTTGTGCTGGACATGGGGCTGCGGTGAGCTTGGGTCTGCTCAGCTGCCCTGGGTGGGCATTAGGGCTGCTCTAGGTCTTGGAGAGGGGGGGGTGAGATGGGAAGTGGCTCCAGGTAGATGCACATCATGGTTGTGTGTCCATCTCTGCTCGCTGGGGACCTCACGGTCCCCAGCCAGCATCCAAGCAGCTGCCCGTCGTGGCAAAAGCATCACCCAGGTCCCGTGCCCAGCTGAGATGGAGCCCGCAGAGGAAAGCCAGGCCCAGCATGGGGTCTTCTCCACTGCCATGAAAGATTTTGCACGAAGCACTGCCTGTCTGGGGAAGCATCCATCTGTCTCTGCGGGTTTTGACCCCACCAAGTAGGCTACTCCCGAGCTTCCCTGCTGAATACCTCGCACAGCCCTTGCAGACGCATGCTTATTCTTTTTTTAATTCTTTATGTTCTCAAGGGCTTTGCAGTTCCTCGCTGACAGAGCCATGGACGCGGCTGGCTCTGCAAAGGGATGCTTTCCAGCCCCCTAAGCTGGGGAACACCCGCGGATCCCCCATGGCTGCTGTCGGCAGCCTCCTGCCCCCTCCTCCAGCCCGCCCTCCACGCCTGGCCCCGCAGGACTATATTTGGGCTAAATATTCCAGCCCATAGCCCCAACCTGACAGTTGGAATGTCTATCCCGATATCTTGTAAACATTTCTTCTGATTAAAAGATCCAGATTACCAGCGACCAAACGGTGACTCAGTCCCATGTGATTTCCCAGGAATTCGCCCAGGATGGGTGGCAGGAGCTGCCAGCTCCAGCCCCATGTGCCCGGCGGGGTGGCACCTGCTGATTCATCCTCACCTTCTTCTTCCCCAGCCAGATAACGATACAGCACGGGCTCCCAAACACCACCCGCTACCGCGTTGCAGCGAAAGCTCTTGTCTGACAAGGGCCGCGCTTATTTTCCTAGAGCCTGGAAGCTGCTGCCTGTGCCCAGGCAGGAGCGTGGCCCCGACTGCCCGCGGGTCGCAGCAGCCGGTGAGGTGTTTTCAGTGCTAGACTGGAAGACATCCCCAGCACCGCGTCGCACCAGCTCCTGGATTTCACAACTCTGTGCCCTGGGCAGTTGGGAGCTGGCTGGAAATGCCCCCTGGAAGGATGCAGAAATTGGGTACCAGGTTTGAACCGTCCCTATGAGGATTTGCTGCAGCAGCACGCTGCCCCAAAAGTAACAGCATCCAAAGTCTGTCCCAGCAGCTCAGCTCTTTTAAAATCGCTCCAAGAGGCAGCAGTCGGGGTAGGGGATGGGCTCTGCTGGCCCTCACAGTCTTAAGGCTTTTAGGCAGTCGGTTAACGGTTTTGACAGTCTTAATTTGGACTGGGAATGAAAAGTTCAAGCAGTGACTTCAGGGAAACGCCCCTGGGATAAGCCGTGACATGGTTAATAGAAAATTGTAATGTTGTTAAAGTGCTTTTCCGTAAAATGCCAGGAGAGGAAATTAACGGTGTGTTGGGGTTTTTTTTCCTAAAAGTTGATATCGTTCTTTTAATTTAATTTTTTAATCCATCACATCAGCACTCAGCACTCATGCCATGCAACTTTCATTTTATAGCGGTTTTCGCATTAGCTGTAGACACCGATGTCAGCGTGGGGAGAACACACCATGGGTTTGCCGTGCAGGTATCTAAACAGCAGGCAGGCTCTCCGTGCAAAACCAGATAAAATCTAACCTGGAGAAGTTGGCATGCGCCTTGCTTTAAAGAGCAGAATAACCTTTCTGATTCAGCGGTGGCCACTCGCGGATGCTTGTCTAGGTCCATTGCTTCCTTGACGGGGCGCCGTGCAGGTGGTTTGAGAGGGTAAGCATGCTGGTGATCCTGCTCAACTGCGTGACACTGGGCATGTTCCACCCCTGCGAGGACATCGCCTGCGACTCACCGCGCTGCAGGATCCTCCAGGTACGGCTCGGCCGCTGCTTTTAGCTTAACGGCGGGCCCAGGTTGATGGGGAGCGGGAAGGACCGAGCTGCGGCAGAGCTGGCTCCAGCCGCGGCGGAGGTGCCCTGGGATGGCTGGGTCCTGCCTGCGCTGGCTGTCCCGACAGCACATAAAAAAATGCTGATTTTGCTGCTCGGATGCAAACACGTGGTGTCATCAGGCAAAGCCCCCGCCAGGCTGTGCCAGCCCCAGCGTAGCCAAGCCTGGCTTGGAGTGCTTGGGGAGGGTTAACCATTGAGTTTATAGTGAAAACAGAGCCCAAAATATACTTTTCCCTTTATCCCAGTGCTGTGGGTGCTGTCGGTCAGACTGGGTTGGGGGAAGGCATGGGGCTACTCCCAGCACTGCCTCTGCCCAGGGATTTTAGCCCTCGGTACAAGAGGAGACCCTGTTGGACTCAGGTCTTTAATTCCCTCCCCCGGTGTGAGCGTGCAGCGATGCAGGAGCATCCCTCCTCCCTTCCTTTTGCAGAGCTTCGACGATTTCATCTTTGCCTTCTTTGCTGTGGAAATGATCGTCAAGATGATTGCACTGGGGATTTTTGGGAAGAAATGCTACTTGGGAGACACGTGGAACCGCCTGGACTTCTTCATTGTCATCGCAGGGTAAGCCCGGTGCGGTGGGTCCCCCTCTCCCTGCGCCTCTCTGTTGTCATTCACGGCACCGCTTGGCCAACGTCGGATTTGGGGGAGCAGCTGGTTTGCAGTGGTGAAGGCTGGGGGCTTGCTGGGCATTGGGGCGTCGGTGTTGTCCATCCTGGCTCCACAGTGGGGACCACCACCAGACCGCAGCGGTCCCTCTGGTGCCCTCCATAGCTCATAGGAGAGCTGATGCTCAGCTCATGGAGAGAGCAGGGCAGGGCAACAAAAGCTGTTTGCAGTGGATTTTGGCCAGCCCGTGCCGCGGGGCTCCTCGCCGGGTGCTCCGCTCGGCTCTTCTCCTTCCAGCCCCACTGGTGGTTTTGATTTCCATGGGGCAAGGTGGCAGTGGAGCGGGTGGTTGGGAGCAGGGAGCGGCACACCAGGGAGGATAGTTCACTGAAATGTGTGTGATTGCCCTCTGGTTTTTCCCTGAAATGTGTGGGATTGCCCTTTTTTTTTTTTTTTTTTTTTTTTGAGGGAAAGTGACCAAGTTTGCCTTTTTGAGTGTTTTCCTTTCAGAGGCACCTGGTTTGAATTAAAGGCTCTTCCAGCACCCGAGAGTCTCCTGGCGGAGGCTGGAAACCCACATGAAAAGTCCCTGGCCCCCAGCCAGTGAGCTGAGTTTCTTTGACACACGAATCGCTTGCCGGCCCTCGCCTGCCCTCCCCGCTCCAAGAGCCCAAAGACCTTTGGGAAAACAGTGGTTTTTTTCCTCTTTTGATAGAGCTAGAGATCAAATTTACTGGATTTTCCTGGAAAGGAGCAGGGGACCCTCCCAGCTGGGCTGTTTCGCTGGTGTAGGTTTGGTGTGCCCCAAGAAGGGGTAACACCTTGGTGGGCTTTGCTGGCCCCATAGGGTCATGGCACACACCTCTGCCAGGCAGCTGGGAGAACCAAAACAGTGGCCCAGTAAAACCAGTAAGGAGGTGCCAGGTCTCCCAGCACATCCTTGACCTGGGAAACTCATTGCCACGGGGTGCTGCAGAGCCCAGAAGATGTAAGGGAGGCTCAAGACCCAGACTGGAGGCAGAGATGGAGGGCAGAAAGACCAAGAGCTGTAACTGTCCCTGTAAACCTATCTTCTGCAGGAGGCCACAGTCTCGTGCTTTCCAGCTGCACCAGTCTCTGGCTCCTCGGGTTAGGAGAGGGCTCAAAGTTTCCTCCTGAAGTGTCTGAGCAACGTTAGGGGCTGCAGCAATGGGACATTGGACAAGGTGGGACCCCGGGTCCAGCCGGCTCTGGTAGGGTTGTAAACATCAGCAGCACAGCCAAGGGCTGGAGCCTGCTAAAGCCACCCTGTGTATTCTTTATTTCTTCTTCTTTATTATTTCTTACATTAGAATTAAGTGTGATGAAGAACCAGACCCAAGCAAGGCCAGGCATCCCACCTGGGGAGGCTTGGGGAGGCATGGTGGTGGGTGCTGGGCTGCTTCCAGCTCTGCCGCCCGGGGGTGCTGCTGCGTTCCCCTCCCAGCCCGGTCCTGGCCTTGCCTGTTGAGCTTGCAAAGCCTTTGGAGCTAGAGTTGTTACCCTTGACGTGCTTCTATGGAGACCCCACTGTGATGGGACCTCGGTCTAGGGGGACATCAGCAGAGACCATCCTAATACCTATGCCAAAATGTAGCTGCACTTTCCTTAAGCGCGCATCCAATCTGCCCACCTACTGCACCTGGACGGGCATTTGGGTGTGTGAGAGCTGCCTCCTTCCCGGGAAAAGTGTGGATAGCAGCACCCACCTCCCCTCTGATGAGGCCGCCTTCCCGCATCCCCGATGCATGGAGTCATTTATTTGCTGCAGAGGCTGTGCAGCCTCCCAGCTCGACTGCTCCCGTGACCCCTGCCAGGTCGGCTTTGCCTCTCACTAAATGATGGGCCTTTCTTTCGTGTGCATGAACTGTTCCCATCTGGGTGCCGTCAAAACCAATTCAGCTGACAAAGGATCGAACTGCCTTTAAATACAAAGCGGGGCCTCTCCTCCCCCAGCGCCCGCTTGCTCTGCTCCCTTTCGCGCCCTTGTGCTCTCCTCCAGCCCTCGCCCGTCCAGCCGGGAGCACTGCATCCCTCGCAGAGCATCGCTGCCGTCCTGGAGGGTCCCTCAGCCGTCCCTGGCAGTGCCGAGTGCCGGGGAAAGCCGAACGGGCGGCAAGAATGGGCCACTGCCATAGCAGAGGAAAAACAAAGGGACCGGAGCCTGTTACTAGACTAAAGACGTAGATAAAAACCACCTTGAGGATAAGAGAAAAAAGCACGCCAGGGTCAAATCCCAACCAGACGGAGGGAAATTCCTCCGGTAGCCCCTGAGTGCAGCTCTGTGGTTCCCACACGGGGCAAATTACCCCGACGAGCATCCGGACCACGGTGCTAACAGCAGAGCACGGGAACAAGGGACAAACTGAGCTCGACATGGAGGCGTCTTGTGCCCGAGCAGGTGTGTGATGTGGGGAAAGGGGCCAGACCCGAGCTGTGGCCCTGGAGGAGAGCATGCGCTGGGGCAATCCTCAAATCCCCGCTGTATTTGCTAGATACCCGATAAAGCGCATCACATTTTTACGTAGGTCTCGCGTAAGGGCTTCAGCCAGGTTCCCCAGTGAAGCGGCAGGGGAAGAGACCCACGAACTGATGTTTCCATGTGGCCCTGGTGACCACAACAAAGCAGCTCTGCTTCTGCTTTCCCACTTTTTTCCTCCCCTTTTTGTGCAAGAGTTGGAGGCGGGGAGGCAGCAGGACAGCGTGGGCTCCCCGCTGCCCGGCAGGTCCCCGGCTCCTCCTCTCCTGCTTTCCCTGCTGCTTCCCTGCCCATGGGCTGCAGAAAGTGATGGCAGGGGGAGAGGAGAAGCAGCAAACCGTGTCTGCGGGGCATCGGGTGGGGAAGGTGCGTCGTGCCGGGGGGCACGCGGGATGTGTTGCATGCCGGGGCTGTATGCTCCCATGGGCAGATCTCCCATAGAAACCCTTCCCAACCACCACCCGTCTAGGAGAGGCTTCCAAAAAAAACCCCCAAACCCTGTGGCGTTTCATCTTCCCTATTCCTTGAGAAGTTTCGGGACCTGCCAGGGGTTGAAATCATGGAGGAACCTTTTTGTGCGTGTTTGCCCCAAATCTCTCACTTGCAGAGGGCTGGGAGAGTCACGCAGGTGCTGCGCTCGCTCCTACCACGCTGCTGGCCACCTTCTGGCATGCCATTAAAGTACTTCTCAGCTCTGTTAAACTGTCCAGGCCAATCTCATGAGCTCATGGAGAGTAAATGACTTCTTTGTGACAATGTAATGCAATTAGTGCTAATTGTAGAGTGTGTAATGTCTGCAACACATCTCCGTAATTACAGTAAAACTTGCTGGAGATGAGAATAGCACTGTATTATCAAAACTCAGCTTAGTGAAACATGGCTCTGGCTGTAGGTTATGGAGTTGCATGGGGAAAAGGGAAGGAAACAAGTGATGAATGACATAATTATGTTGTGTTATTTTAAAGAAGAGGATTTGGGGAGTTAGCTTTTAAGAGAACGCTTGAAGGTTAATGGGTGTTGCAAGCCAGCTCTTACCCTCTAAAGACAATTCAATACGATTTCGACCTCTCTCAGTGTAAGATGCAAATGTATCGAGGATGAATGCTTGTTTACATCCAAAAATATGCAGAGTCATTTACAGTTTGGTGCTGGCTGAGGCTCTGTCTGGTGAACCGGAGCTGTGGGATGGAGATGTGCCCTGACTTGCCATCTCCCTGGCCGCTTTGGGACCCAGCACCTACTCTGCCTCCCCCTCCTCCGGGCAGGGCGCAGGGAGCTCTTCTCCAATCAGTCTGTGGGAAGAAGATAGCCACAGATTGAGACCTACCTGCTCCTCAGCTGGAGCCATCCCTATCACCAGCCACCTTGCTGCAGTCCCACCAGCTTGCAGGACATCAGCTTGTTTTGACTTTGGTCGGATAAGGACTTCCCTGAACCTCTGCATCCCTGTGGATTGAATTGTGCTTTAAACCATCCTCATCAAAAAAACCCCAAAACAACAAACAACCCCAATGGTTAATTGTTTTCCCAGGAGGGATGCTTTAAATCAGGGGATAATTTGGTGCTGTAAGAGCTTACAGGGTTCCCCTCTGCCTTCTCCAGACACAGGGTCGAGCAGGGCTCTGGGTCCGTGCCTGCGTTTCTGCTCCCCTCCGAGCAGGGCTGTGCATCGTCCCGTGTTTGAGTTGTGTGGGTCTGTTGTTACTCTGGGCTCAGTCAGTTGTTTGGCCAAGTCTGCGGAGTCCTGTTTGTGCTTTGCTCATTGTAACGGTAATGTGCCTCTTAGAAGACTTTGTAGGAAACTTAAACACTTCTGGAATATTTTGCTTACGATTTGAGAGGAGCCGGGGCTGGAGGTGGTTGGCAGGCTGCTTTCTTTAGAAACACAGACACCGTTTCTTTTTCTCTTTGCTTCCTGAACACTTCTTCTAATGTTTGTTATCATTTTTTCTCCCTCTGTTGAAGGCTGTATTAAAGATTTAGCTCCACTGAAGCCTTCATAAAGAACCCTTAAGGATGTCTGCTCCCTCCTGGTTTTGCGTGCTGATTTTCAGCGGTGAAATATGACGCGGGAAGCCTTGCTGTATTCATAAGTACCTAGGAGAGAAAGGGGTGCCACAGTCCCCCACTCCATCCCTGCTCCATCTAAAACTGAATGGTTTCTGAAAAGCTCTTTAGCTCAGAAATTGGGATAAGGGCGATGCTGCCAGACCGGTCTCCACGGGGAGCAGGGTTCCTGTGGCAGCAGCAGCCAGAGCAAAGTTCCTGCTGGGTGCGTTGGGTGAAGCTTCCAGCGTGTGGCCTTCACCTCGCAGCGCTGGTTCGCTTCACAAGCAGGCAG